TTTTTTTAAACGTGCTCAATAACAAACCGAATGTAAATCCACTCCCAGAAACTAAGGCAAGCAATTGATATTTACAGAGAGAGGCTCCGTCTCAAAAAAAAAAAAAAAAAAAAAAAGAGTTTTTTTTAAATCTGTGGCCCAGCTAAAGAACCTAGACGGGTAGAAGGAAGCCATATTTCCCTCCTTTACATTTGAATCTTCTTGACACCACACTCTCCCGGGTCATCTGGACCCTCCTTGAACTGGAGCCAGGGGAGCGCAGGGCATCCCAAGTCAGGGCCCGAATTCCGCGTGGTGCCGAGCGGAATTGGTGGTGGTGGCTCCCTGGATGCCCACCCAGGACCCCGGCAAAAAAAAAAAACAACAAAAAAAAAAAAAAAAAAAAGGCTTGCTCTGTCGCCCAAGCTGGAGTGCAGTCCACTCCTGGACTCAATGCAACCTCCGCCTCTGGGTTCAAGCGATTCTTGTGCCTCAGCCTACTCAGTAGCTGGGATTACAGGCGAGCGTCACCAAGCCTGTCTAACTTTTATATTTTTAGTAGAGACAAGGTTTTGTCATGTTGGCCAGGCTGGTCTCGAGCTCCCGACCTCAAGTGATCTGCTCACCTCAGCCTCCCAAAGTGCTGGGATTAAGGGCGTGAGCCACGGGCGCCCGGCCTGAAGCTCTTTATAAAAGAAATCTATGGCCGCGCACGGTGGCTCAAGCCTGTAATCCCAGCACTTTGGGAGGCCAAGGTGGGTGGATCAGCTGAGGTCAGGAGTTCGAGGTCAGCCTGACCAACATGGTGAAACCCAATCTCTACTAAAAATACAAAAAAATTAGCTGGGTGTGGTGGCGCACACCTGTAAGTAACCCCAGCTACTTGGGAGGCTGAGGCAGGAGAATCATTTGCACCTGGGAGGCGGAGGTTTCAGTGAGTCAAGATCGTGTCACTGCACTCCAGCCTGGGTAATGGAAAGACTCCGTCTCAAAAAAAAAAAAAAAAAAAAGAAAGAAGGAACGAAAAAGAAAAAAAAAAAAAGAAATCTACATCTATTAAAAAAAAAAAAGTTCCATTTGTAAGGGCATCTCCCTCGGTGGACCTAAACCACTAGAAAATTTCAGGATGGGGAAGACATTGGCTTAAAGTTTACATAACAAACGGTACGGTACCTCTGTTTAAAATACTTTTCCTGGTAATTTTATCTTAACAGTTTTTAACCTATGCCTTTCTTTGTCTCAGCAAATAATTCTGTTTAGGTACAAGTTCTGTGTCTTTTAGATGTAAATTTTTAAATTTTGTTATTAGTTTTTTTATTTGTTATTTTGTTTAATAGGCTTTTGAAAGTGCAAACTTAGGGTTGCCTAGTTACTAATTACTTAGGGTAGTGGAACAGATAATCAAGAGACTGATCGTCTAAAGTGGACGATCACTAAGTGGACGATCTTAGTGGATGATCACTTTAGACGATCATCTAAAGTGGGCACAGACTATTAGAAAACTGGCTAGTGAAGAATCTTATAAAAGATAAAAGATCTGCTTCTGTTTGTATGTCTATGTTTATATGCGTTACAGCATGTCATATTTCATTACCAAATATATGAAAAAGTTCAAATTAATTGGCACCAAAATATGCCACCCCGACATATTGATGACTCTGAGCTAAAAGAAACTGAGAACCAGCCAACACATGAAAACTTCACCTCGCCGGCAACTGCTCCCGTTTTGTAAAGAGAAATTTACATCTTTAAAGGAAATTTCCGTGAGTAAACGTATCTGTATCAGACAGACAGCTGCCTGGAGACAGCTTTCATCACCTGAGAGCCTTACAAAGGAACCTTTATTCATCATACATTTTGACCCTTCCATAATTTGTCTCCACCACGCCCCAAAAGGCCCACGCCCTTCTTTCAGTCTCCCATTTTTGTGGCCCTCCAGTGCATGGGTATGTGAAAAGAGTTTTTCTCCCCGTCTCTACTAAAAAGTACAAAAAACTAGCCGGGCGAGGTGGCGGGCGTCTGTAGTCCCAGCTACTCGGGGAGACTGAGGCAGGAGAATGGCATAAACCCGGGAGGCGGAGCTTGCAGTGAGCTGAGATCCGGCCACTCCACTCGAGCCTGGGCGACAGAG